CCCAGTCATATAATGGTTAATCTTGATTGTCAGATTAATTGGATTGAGAGCTGCCTAAGAGATTAGAAAAACACCTGCATGTCTAGGTGTGCCTATGAGGGCATTTCCAGACAGGTCTGAGGGAGAAAGACTTTGAATGTGGCTGACACCATCTAATAGAAGGCCTGGGATGGAGGAAAAGTAGAAAAAGGAGAAAGGCAGCCAGTAGATGCAAGCTCCACTCTTCCCAAGGGAATATGTGAATCACAGCAGTCATTGCCCAGGGCCGCCTGACCCCAGCATCCTCGGCCTTTCAGCACAGAAACTGCAAAGCTTCCAGGCCTTCAGCCTCCATCTGGGGTTGTATCACTGGCTCTCTTGCTCTGGGGCTTTCAGTTTTTAGGACTGACAGCTACCAGATTCCCTAATTCTGTAGTCTGCAGATGGCTACTGTGCTCTTTGGCTTCCAACTGTGTATGCCAACCTAATAAATTCCCATTATAATTATATATGTGTATGTGTATATATAATATATATGTATATATGTGTGTTTGCATTTGTGTGTGTGTGTATGTGCGTGTGCGTTACTGGTTGTTCCTCTAGAGGATCCTAATACAGAGAGCAGATTTCTACCCACCCTTGGGGTGGTCACAGAGCTCCACATCACAAGAAACAGCACAGCTGTCATCCAAGTAACTGCACACCACCCCTCCCCTCTTGCATTAGTGCCTGACCCTGTGAGGAGAAGTGGAAGAATTGTGTGCTACTGATGGGGTCTCTTGGGTGCTCCAGACAAGCCAGGGATTGATGATTGCTGTAGTGGGCAGGAAGGTTTCCTGGAGAGCAGAGTGGAGCAGGTGGGAGATGATTTGATGCAGCCACAGAGGGAGGAAGGAGTTCATGCAGAAAGATTCAGGCGAGGCAGAGGTGTCAGGATCCAGTGATGTGTGTGCATGCCTCATAAATACATGTGTACATGTATGCATGTGTGTATATGTGTGCTTATCCTGAAAAGGAAATGCAATTTGTCAGATGAGAGGCACTTTAGTGCACTGAGTTGGGGAGGAGTCTTCTGTGACCATAACAGATCAGGAAAAGGCAGGAGACTAAGCAAAGGACTTAGGGTTTGGGTGTTCCATGTGGAGTGGTTAGGACCTTCTCCCCCAGGGCACAGACCCATAGGAAAATCCATAACAGTCCATCAATCACATTTACTGCACCTAGACCATGTGACAAGGCAGACAGAGATGAGAATCTTACAGTTCCATGACAAAGAGCACTGGGGGCCACCGGAAGTTGGGGAAGGCAAAGAGAGATTCTTCCCCTTGGGCTTCAAAAAAAGCGTGGCTCTACTGTCTTGTTTTCACACTCTGGCCCCGAAAGGTGACAGAATGCATTCCTATTGTTTGAAACCACCCAGTTTCTGGTAACTTATTATGGCAGCTCCAAGAGTCAAGAGTGGGAAACCTTAGGGCAGAGCAGATAGGCATGCCTGCACTCTTTGGCTACAGGCTTGGGAGTTCCTCAGGAATCCTTGGGCCTGCAGGAGGGACCAGAGCTGCTCAGAGGCCCCAAGGCCTGCAAGAGAGGTTGTATAGTGCCAGTCATTTTGTTTTTTTCCAAAGGTCTTGTGGGACAGACTGAAAACACTGCCCCACCATAGAAGTGTGTCCTTCTGAGAGCACTGGGTACTCTGCAGCCCCATGGGCTTCTCCCAGAGGTGGAAGGGTGAGCGGTCTGGCCACTGTGCCGGGGGACAACTTGAGAGGAAATAAATTTCATCCCCTGAAGTCCTTGGGGACCATGTCCACTTCCCATACCCCTCTGCCACCATGCTAAGAAAAACAAAATAAGCAAATAGCATGTTCCCCTCTCCATCTCCAGAGGATTCATTAAAACAAGCCTGTGTGTAGAGTTGGAGCCCAGCCTCCCAGCCTAATTACTGCTTTAAAGGGTTTGGGGAAAGGACTTCTACCCGAGGCTGTAAAAATAGTCAGCTGATCCTGTTATATGTGGGGAGGGCAGTGGGTGCTTTCTGAGATTTTTTTTCTTGTTTCTCCATGACATTGGGCCTTGGGAAGCTTTCAGTCTGAAGGCATCTATGAGGCAGTCACTCCAGTGCCTGGGCATATGTGACACCATCTGTGGCCAGGCACTGTGCAGTGATGGTTCCATGTGGTCCTTTGGCCAGCCCAGAGTCCAGCTGAAAGCCAGAACTGCAAAACAGTGGCTCTAGATGTGGGGGTCCAACTAGTCCTGAGGACAACGTGCTTTGGGCAGAAAACAGCGGAGGGCAGCTGAGTGTGGCAGGGCCTCTGTGCTGAGGAAACATTTGCCCTAGGCCTTGGGTACTGGAAGAACGTTCAAAGTAGAGACAATGACAGGAGCCAAGGGGTAGGCTGTGCCAGCTGTACCACAGGGAGGAGCAAGTAAAGACTGACTCAACCACAGGTACTGACAAGCGGTAGGCAACGAGGGTGGGGGTGGGGTTGGAGGTGTGTGTGTGACACCGGAAAGGGAAGAGGACCACTAAGAACACCAGCCAGCCAAGAATCTCTGCTTTTTCAATGGGATGCCAAGAGAAAACAGGAAAAAAATATTAGTATTAAAAAATCGAGTAGGGGCTGGAGAGATGGCTCAGCTACTAAAGGAATTGCCCGCTCTTGCAGAAGACCAGGGCTCAGTTCCTAGCACCCATGTGGTAGCTCACAATCATCTGTAACTCCAGTTCTAGGGGATCTGATTCCCTCTTCTGGCCTCAACAGGTACCAGGCATGCAAGTGGAGCACATGAAACCTACATGCAAGCAAAATACACAGAGATAAAATAAAAATAAATTTTTGAAAAAGAATCAAGGATTGTGGGTGTGGTGGCACACCTATAATTTTAAAACCTTGGGAGGTACAGGCAGAAACATCAGGAGTTCAAGGTCATCCTCAGCTACCTAGCAGATTTAAGGACAATCGGAGCTACAAGTCTTAAAAAAAGAGAGAGAGAAAAAATCACACACACACACACACACACACATACACACACAGAGCGCACAGAGTGAAACTTTAGGAGAGAGTCCATTAAAGCTGCCACTTCTAGTTCATTATGGTGGAAGAACTCCTCTCACCAAGAGGACAGGCTGAGGTAAGCTCAAGGATGTACAAAGTCCTGGCCTGGGGAAGGACACAACAGCACGGCCAAGACCCAGACCCTCGCACAGTGCTGTACACGTCGCCTAGACTCTTCCAGAGCTTCCTGTCCTTCCCCACGGTCAATCCCGCTGGAGTCCTTGTAATCTCAGGTTTCAGTCCACAGCAGAGTAAAAGTAGGGACTAGAGGGAGGCAGAGCAGGGGCTCTCTTGCAGACACCTGAAACAAGACTTGTCCAGGAGGTGGTGCTGTCCCTTTAGACAGACTTAAGTGCAGACAGAACTGGAACCACAGAGCACTGTTCCACACTTGGCAGTGGGGAGGGACATCCTGGAACACCAGTGAGACTATAAATGCTTGCCCTTGAGAATGTGATGACCAAGGGATTCCGCCACCAAGCACTCACATTTGCTTTCAGCAGATCAAAGCCCCACACTGAGGGGTGAACCATGAGAAATACTACAGAACTTCCTCCTCCTTCCAGCTCTGCACATGTTCAGAATCCCACCCTCTCTTTTCCAAGTAACACCTACTAACTAACATCTCCCAGAACTAGGATCCCACAGGACCCAGCCGCCTGGAGAAACGAATGATTGTCTTTACCCTCAGGAGGAAGACAGTACTTTTCTTAAGAATAACTGAAATGGCTTAAGTTTTATACCTTTGGCAAAAAGCTATAGTTGCCAGGAAAATTCACTTGAACAAACCTCCCCACTCACTAGTGGTACCAGGCAAGGATATAGTCACTGAGCCCTAGGAACTCAGCTTTGGGGCCATCTAGAGTGAATCTGTGAGTGACCCCAGACCCACCATCCCAAAGCCAGGATCCACAGAGGTCATTAGGTCAGGTCTCCTGCCTACCACAGGTGCCTCTCCATGGAAGACAGGCTTCACCAGTGCTTGGGGTAGTGGTGGTGGGGTGGCTGTGTGTGTGTGTGTGTGTGTGTGTGTGTGTGTGTGTGTGTGTATGTGTGTGTGTGTGTGGTCTGAGGTCTAGACAATGTGAGTGTGTATATGTATGGATGTGTGAGAGAATTATATGTATATGGTCTGCTGTGTGTGTGTGGGGGGGTGTCTGAGGTCTAGACAATGTGAGTGTGTATATGTATGGATGTGTGAGAGAATTATATGTATATGGTCTGCTGTGTGTGTGTGTGTGTGTATGTGTGTGGGGGGTGTCTGAGGTCTAGACAATGTGAGTGTGTATATGTATGGATGTGTGAGAGAATGATATGTATATGGTCTGCTATGTGTGTGCGGGGGGGTGTCTGAGGTCTAGACAAGTTTAGGGTGTATATGTATGGATGTGTGAGAGAATTATATGTATATGGTCTGCTGTGTGTGTGTGTGTGTGTGTATGTGTGGGGGGGTGTCTGAGGTCTAGACAATGTGAGTGTGTATATGTATGGGTGTGCGTGTATGTGCACATGCACACATTTGTAAGGCCCAGCGAAAACCACCACTCCTAGGGGACATGGTCTCCAGCTGCTCTAGTCACCACTCTTGGCTCTCTTCTACCTGACCCCCGCACCCACATATATAACCAAACCCTGCTATGGTTCCCACCCATCTGTGAAGAACTAGAGAACCCAGATTGCAATGTGTCCCCTCCCTGTTTTTAAGATTTCTCCCTGGAGAATGTTTCCTTTTTGAGGTCTGAATTTTCATATCTTTTCCAGTTTGGGGCCAGTACTCTGGGGGGAGGGGAAGGAGTTCCTTCAAAGCAAAAAGACACCTCAGAAAACTGGAGTTGTCCTCTTCTGACCCCAGCTTAACAACCCCCTGAGAAAGGTTGGCAGTTGTCTCTGGGTGGTTACAATAAGCAGAGGTGCCTGTGGTTTGGAAGGCTTGGGGATGGGGGTGGGAAGCTGGAATCTCACCTGGTATGTGTTGTCAAAGCTGTCATACATGAACCTCGTGATCAGAGACGTCTTTCCGACTGCAAGACAAGAAGAGAGGTGTTCAGCTGTAAGAAGAGGCTGATAGCCAGGGTCTTCTAAATACATCACATATGGAAGAAAGATTGGCTTACAGACCCACACAGAGGAGCGAGGCCCCAGGAGAAAGACCCCCAGTCAAGGTGCTCAGTAGCTACACCAGGTGGGCTACAGGATTGTTCTCCTCAGGGCCAGGCTGCATAGAGGAGGAGGCCTACCTCTGCCCCAATTTCCACTACTCAAATCCAGGTCAGCCCTGACTCCAGGCAGCCAACTGACCTGACAGCCTTGCATGAGGAATCAGAGCAAGTGGTGCTAACACGATGCTCCTTTCACACCTGCCCACGTTCCCCTGGACACACCACCTCAACATGGATCATCTGCTCACGGGAGATTCTCTTTATTTCCCATTTATTCAGCCCAGGCATCAACAAGGATGGGGGCTTTCCAAGGACTCAGGGAAATAAGCAGTCATTTCCCAGGGTCTCTCAAGGGCGAAACTATTTCCTGCAGTGTGCCTGGACTGTCCAGCCCAGTGCAGGGTCTTTACCATCCTGAGTCCCACTGTGTAAAATCACAAGAGGATTCCCAGACACTGTGACAATTGCAGGTTTACCCACACATCTGTAAACACCCCGTACAAGGCAAGAACGCCCCAACTGAGAACTGCTGGCATCTCTGAATCTCCTGGGAATCCCATAAATGCCGCTAATTTCCCAAACTGCAGGGTTTGGCTTCTGACCTAACTCAGTGCAGGTCTCCTGGGACCTGGCAGGGGCAGGAATGCCAACTGCTGCCCTTCTAGCCATCTGGGAGGGAAAGGAGCATGATAAAGGACATTGGTTAGATCGGTTACTGCATGGACTACCTCTCTCCTCTGTCCCACCAGGTCTCTTCCACAGCCCTGGGAGGCTCAGAGGGGACCTGCTGGCTAAGGGAGCCTAGTGGCGCATCTGCTCTGGGCTGCAGGAGGCAGGTATCTCTGACAGGAGAAAGCAAAGATGTTCAAGGCCACAGGCCCTCCTCATTCTGCCCCTTTTTATGTCCAGAAGACCATCCCCAGGCTGGGGCTTGGCAGGGTGGCTGGTGACTCCCTGGGTGGAACAGAGAAACTCAGTGGGACCCATGGAAAGGCTCTTTGCTGGGTTTGGAGCCCAGATGTGCACTGTGTAGAGCCAAGTACTGTTATGCCTGACACACAATACTGGCCAAGGGGAAGATGACAGTCACCTGGCCAGGGTCATCTGATGGATTGGGTTGAGCTGAAGCCCAAAGACCCCCAAAGCTGTACCAGAATTGGTCAGTTGAGTTCAAATCTTAAGTACTTTTTAACTGTGTCACTTTGAGGTGGTCACCACTCTCCTGGACCTTAGTTCCTCATTATAACACATAGTATCAAAGATGTCAGAGGACTGTTGTAAGACCTGAGGTAATAAAAGTGAGAGGTTGCCGGGCGTGGTGGCACACGCCTGGAGTCCCAGCACTCGGGAGGCAGAGGCAGGCGGATCTCTGTGAGTTCAAGGCCAGCCTGGTCTACATAGTGAGTTCCAGGACAGCTGGGGCTACAGGGAGACCCTGCTTCAAAAAGACCAAAAAAAAAAAAAAAAAAAAAGTGAGAGGTTCATAGGAAATGCTGAAAAGCAGAAGGAGGTGGCATCCCACTTGAGACAGTGAGGCATTTTTCTGAATGAGATAATGACAGGAAGAAAAAAAAAATACTACCACCAAGGTTATATAATGAGGAAACTGACTCCTCTTTGCCCTGGAATGTGGACTCTAAGCACGTGGATAGGAATTTCCTAGGCATGAGGAGTGCCTTTGTTATTCCTGAGTCTCAGCGATCACACCTGAGCTTGTGCTAAGGAGGTGGTAGGGATGTGGCTATTAACCATATGACCAGAGGGCTGGGGACTGGAGCCAGTTCAAGCTCCGGGAAGGAGAGGGAGGTTGGAGACTGAGCTCCATCTTACGGACAATGTTCAACCAGCTGTGTCTACATAAGGAAATCCTAGTAAGAACTCCAGACACCGATGCCCTGTGGTGCCTCCTGGGTTGTGAACACATGGATGTCCCTGGAGTAGGCAGGCTGTGACTGTGGGGAGAAGGCATGGGAGGGCGCTCTGCATTCAGGAAACTGAGTGATATGGGGAAGCCAAGCTCAGTGGGTCTGCCTGTGTCCTCCCAGGGGAGTGCTAGGATTACAGACTTGCACCCCTACCACACCCAGGTTTTTATGTGGGTGCTGAGTATCCAAATTCAGGTCTTCATGATTATATAGCAAGCACTTACCCACTGGACTATCTCCTCAATCTCACCCCCCCAAAAAGCTGTAATCTTAGGGGGAACACTGAGTGTCTGTTGTTGAACCTGAGGGGTACTAGGAACTCCTTGGATTTGGAACTAGTTGGTCAGAAGTATAGCTATCTTGGGGACTCCATTGCTGGCTTCTGGAAATGAGGGAAGTCTTGGGGATAGTGTCCGTATCCAACGCTGGGTGGTTAGTGGTAAAACTGCATTGTAAGTAAGTTACCAGCTGGTATCAGGGTGGTCATATTTCTGAGAGAGGCAGTAAAAAACCCAAGAGATTGGGCTGTGAAGGACTTTCCAACTGCTTTGCATCTCCTCTTAATTTTCACAGGAAGGCAAGAAGTAGGAGGCTTCCCAGGTCCTGAGGATCAGCTCTGAGGCCACAAGCAGAGCTGGCCAGGAATTAAGAGTCCCACAGAAGGAAAAGTGGGAAAACCCTGAGCTAGCCAGAGATGCATGGAATTGGGGAGCCCTCAGCATCCTCTTTCTTTTTAAAAATGTTTTTATTTTTGTATTTATTTATTTGTTTTTTAAATTTTATTTATTATTATTTTTTTATGTGTATGTGTGTATTGCCTGCATGTAGGCAAGTGTACCCATGTCGTGCAATGCCCTTGGAGGACAGAAGAGGCTGTCAGATCCCCTGGGACTGGAGTTACAGACAATTGTTAGCTGCCATGTGGGTGCTGGGATTTGAACCCGGGTCTTCTGCAAGAACCAGTATTTTTAACCACTGAGCCATCTCTCCAGCCCCCATTTATTTATTTTTATGTGTATGAGTGTTTTGCCTGCATGTATGTAAGTACACCACCTGAGTGCAATGCCCAAGAAGGCCAGAAGAGGGCATCGGATCCCCTGGAACTGGAGTTATGGATGGCTGTTAACCACCATGTGGGTGCTGGGAACTGAACCTGGGTCCTCTGCAAGAGCAGCCAGGGCTCTTAACCACTGAGCCATCTCTCTAGCCCCAGCGACTTCTGAAAGGAAGGAAAGAATTCCAACCTCCTCAAGATCACAGGGCCTATGGGTAATGTCCCCAGGCAGTGCCACTTATGCTTCAGGGTATAAGGTTGCAGATCTGGAAGTAAGGCAGGGAGGCTAGCAGAAAGACCCTTCATCCATAGCCAGTGAGCAGGGTGCTCAGTGGTGCATCCCTGGAATACCAAAAAGTCACTAAGGAAACATGAGGGAAGTTCAAAGTTGCTGAGAATTTAGCAACCCTTTCAGATGCCACCCTGCCCCTTCTCATGGCATCATCCTCTGACAGTCACTGCTTATCTGTGGGATCACATCTGGGTGGCAGGAGGAACTTTTGGGTATGGGATACATACTGCCCATGGCCAGTATTTTCTTCCCCAATAATTACAGCAAGTGATGTGAGTCAAATACTCATGAACCATGTTCTAGGTGCATACTAGGGGCTGTGAGACATGAGATTTGTATGATGCCACACACAGACAGGTATGATGCTGGCCCACCAAGAGGCTTGCAGCAACACTGGGCTAAAGTCTTAGGACCATGCTTCTAGCTTCCCACAGCTGGAGCAGGAACTCATAGTACATCCAGTTTGCACCACAGGAGGCAGGTAAGTACCAGACCAAGGTCAGAGCTCAGGGGACTGGGAATGTGGCTGTCTGGCCAGGACCTCAGCTTCTATCAGTTCCTCCTTTGTGCCTTTGGGTCAGGTGCAGACTCAGGATTCTGTCAATTCATGACCACCACCACTGTGAACATCTTCTCCCCAAATTCTTCTTTAGTCTTCTACACCAATCACACAGCCAGGATAATGTAACACAGACCACTGTCTCAACTAATCAGCTTGGTGGCTCAGATTCCTCTCAGTGCTCCTGTGATGCTTAATATTGTCAACTTGACAGGAACTAGAATCACCAGGAGACAAACCTCTGGGCACACCTGTCGGGATTACCTTGATCAGGTTATCTTCTGGTCATGCCTGTGCAGGATTATCTTGAGCAGGTCACGCTATACCATTCCCAGGCTTGGATCCTGGATTGCATAAAAAGGCTGAGCACCGGCATTCATGGTGTCTGACTGCAGATGCCACGTGACCAGCTGCTTCAAGCTCCTGCCACCTTGACTTCCCTGCCATTGAACCATGTGCCAAAATAAACCCTTCCTTCTTTCTGTAAGTGTTTTTGCCATGGCATTTAATCACAGCGGCAACAACCAAAATAAATACATAAATAATAAATAGATAAATAATGAAGACCACTCCCCATTTCCCGAAACACCCTATAAGGTAAGCCAGTCTGTCCTTTTGAAAGTGCACTGCTAGTCAGAATGGAGTTCTTCTGGCCCACAGATGTGCCTGGACATGCTGCATTATGAGGGACTCACTAACCACTCCTCCAAAGACTTCCCAGCCCCTCTACTTGGGGGTAGCTCCTTTTGAGCCCAGCCCACCTTCTCATCCTTCCCCAGGCTGCCACACTCTCTGGACCATTTGTCTCTGCTCTTTATTTCTTGTCAGTGTGTTTTGTTTCGACTCCTACCTTGGGCAAGTTTGGAACTGCAGGACCTCTGTCCTGACCCTGGACTCTGAGGTCTCTAGGCTCAACAATCTATAGGGGACTGACCAGCTCTCAACACAAAGCACAGCAATGCTAGCTGACACCAGGAATTGCAGAGAAAAGCATTCTGCACACCTGGTCTCCAGGGAGCTCCCCTAGGCCCC